CAGCACCACACTGGGTCTGTTTCTTTGTTGTCCAAAGTAGATCCAAAGTCCTTGAAGCAATTTCCATGTCTCTGTCCTTCAGGTCCATCAGTAAAGAGGATGCTCTAGGCCGCTGGAGGAAATAATACTTCGGCAGAAATATCTGTACAAAGTTGTGATCATCACCCTCTTCTCAGAGGCCAGTCTTTGCCAAATAAGGCTACTTTTTTTTTGTATGTGTGGGGAGGGGACTGGTTTGTGAATGCCTGTTAAAGCATCTTAAGTGGGCCAGCAGAATGGCTCAACGTGCAAACAGTTCTTGCTTTACAAGCCCAATAACCTGAGTTCAATCCCTGGAACCCAGTGTGGGAGGAGGGAACTGACTCCCAAAAGTTGCCCTCTGAGCTCCACGGGCATTCCCACAACTCACTGTGGGAAAGCACAATAATAAATTAAATAAATTCTAAAAATTAGAGCTCTTTAGATATTCCTCACGCACCTTCCCCAACTATCTTTGCCCCCTACCCTGAGAGCAGGGGAAGCATTGTCAGAACTCTTTCAGTTTTATCCCTCAAAGAGTTGCTTGAATTTGTAAGTAGACAGACTTAGGAGGCAGGTTACTCCCCCACCCCCACCTCCAACCCCCAGCCCCAGTAGAGCCAGCTTCCAGCCAGCACTGAATTCTGATTCTGTTTCTCATCCTGTATCGTCCCCTCTGTGGACTTGAGCACTGTGGCATTAAATATGCACTTATCATTCCTACCTAATGCCTAAAAAGGGGAACTTTTGCTTCAGTGACCTGAGCCCCCAGTATCCTCCCCTCCCACTGCTCTTCTTCATCCTGTGCTTAACAAGATGACCTCATCCCCTGCTTCTGTCCACTGTCCACCCCAGGGCCATCATCCCTGCCCCTAAATTCTTTTGTGGTTTGCTGCCAGTAGATATTTCTTTAGCACTGTCTTATTTTGACACTTGACTCACGGCAGATTTGTGTGTATGTATGTATACACATCCGTGCTTGTGGTTTGGGGAACCCTTGCAGGTAGGTTAGCGTGTATACATATAAGTGTGCCCGTGGTTGATATCTGGTGTTCTCAATCACTTTTCCTCATTTTCTTTTCTTTTAAAAAACATGCAGGGCTGGAGAGATGGCTCAGTGGTTCAGATCACTGACTGCTCTTCCAGAGGTCCTGAGTTCAATTCCTAGCAATTACATGGTGGCTCACAACCATCTGTCATGGGATCTGATGCCCTCTTCTGGTGTGTCTGAAGACAGCCCCAGTTTGAAGATGAGCTATAGTATACTCATATACATAAAATAAATAAATAAATCTTTATAAAACATGTCTGTCTGTGTGAATGTATGCCGTGTGTGTGTGTGTGTGTGTGTGTGTGTGTGTGTGTGTGTGTGTGTATGTCCTTCCAGAGAAGGAAGCCAGAGGAGGGCTTGCAGTCACCTAATGCAGGTTCAAGGAACCAAGCTCAGGTCCTCCGGAAGAGCAGGAAGTGCTATTATTGGCCATTGGCCAAATGGCTGGGCTATTTCTCCAGCCTCTCCACCTTCTACCTTGAGACTGAGTCTCTCTCACTGAACCTAGAGCTCACTGATAGGCTGAACTGAGTGGCCAGCAACCCGAGGGGTCCTCCTGTTCCCATGTCTACTAGAATTACGGGTGCACACCCAGCTCTTTGTGTGGGTTCAGGGGCTCTGACCTTGGGTCCTCATGCTTGAGCAGCAGACACTTTTACTAACTTAGCCATCATCCCAGACCAACTTTTATCAGCAGATGTTAATGTTACTGATCGCCCCTCCTCAGCATCTGTTTTTCTGGTTCCTCCTCTCCCTGGTCACTCCTGCACTGCATGCTTTGTCTTTTCGTCTGTCTGTGCTTTATGCCTTCTTGTTCATCAGGATGATGATGGAAACTGGTTTTTAATGTAACACACTTGCTCCTTGGTCTCTACCAGTTCTTAAAGCTTTGGTATCTACATCCTAAGGAGATCCTGTCTTATGTCTAAGTAGGTATCTTCTGGTCCTGAAGTCTTACAGGTACTTCACAGCTACTGTATCTGAGATGAACTTACCAGCTACTTTTATAACACTGGTTATCTTGTTATTTCAGTGAATGGCACCATTTTCCATTTTAATCCAGAAATTTAAATTTCGTTCCTAATCTTCCACTTGATGGGATGAGAAGCAGCCGTTCTGACAAGGGTGTAGAGAAAGTACAAGTAGAGGTGGTTTTTAAAGCAGCATCTGATCCGCTCTGTCTACACTGGGCCTCTCGAGGCTGGCTCCCTGCGCTCCACGCCAGGTCCATTCAGTCTCTGGAGTTTACTGGCCCTGCTTCATGTTTAGCATGCCATTGCTCCTGGAATATCGCCACATCTTTAAGATGCTGTTCGTCAGGTAGGGCATGATGGCACATACCTTTAATCCCCTGCACTCCTGAAGGCAGAGGCAGGCAGATCTCTGAGTTGGAGACCAGCCTGGTCTACATAGTGAGTTCCAGGACACCCAGGGCTTGTAAAGAGACCCTGTCACCAAACCAAACCAAAACATAAACTGAAAGAATAAAAAAAAATTGTTCTTCATTTCTATCTCTTCTAATCTCTACACTGGCCATAAAGTCAAATCTGAACATGCATTTCCTGAGGTAAGTCCTTCACTAGTGACTGTTGACCTTCTGTTGGAACTGTTCTCATGATGTTTTTCATCTCCAGCTGTCCTCTGTACTTCTGGCTACTCTGCAGCTCCTCTGGTGATCACCCCACTCCCACCACACCATTTCTTTAGCTTAGTCACTCTTTTCATTAGTTCTAAGCATATTTTGGTCTTGGAAGTCGATGCCACTTTCCTCAGGAAACACTCCACAAACCTGGGTTTAGGTGGCTTTCATCCATGCCCCTCAGATGGAATGCCCCACCCTTGTGATAGGACCAGCACGAGGAAACTGCATTCCTGTGCCCACTGAGCTTAGACTGTGATCCCGGCAGTGTATGTGGCTGTCTGAGCAAGTTACCACAGACCTCTTTCCTCTTCTTTGTGGCCAGAGGTGAGAGAAAAGCTGCTCTGAAGTGAGGCCTAGCACTCAGCTGGGAAGCCAGCAAGCATCAGAGCTTACTGACAGCATGTAGGTCTCTGGGTGTTTTGCTGCTATGAACACATGAGGAGCCTTGTATGCAGACTTATTTTAGAAGGTGTCTGCCATAGGTCAGGGTGCTAAAAAGCACTGAGATGTCAGGAAGGTGGGAAAAAAAGAAACGCAAGGTAATGTGAAAGCCCATGAGAATCCCAGGCCACCTACTCCTGTGCAGAATTGACTGTTTGTCTTGTTGGAATGTCTTAGATAGTATGTTTCTGGAATACCATGCATACTGTACAACAATCTCATCCTCATGGCTTGCCATTTTTCTATTTAGCAGAGACAATGGTTCTTTCAACAAAGTTGTAGAAACTGTCGTATGTGACCTGTTGGGAAAAGTGCTATGTGGGTACCTTAGGGAGATCTGTATTTCTGGAATGTTCTTTGGTGAATGTAATTAATTACTAAGTAGCCCCTCGATCAGTTAGGTCCTTGTCTGAATAGGTCCAAACCCTTGGTTCAAGGGTTGTCTTCATAAACTCTATTATAATATTGCTTCACACTTCCTAGGACTTTATAATGGGTCAAGGATGTGCAAGAGTGGATGGGCAGGATTGTCCTTGTCTTTGTAAAAGAGAAACTGCTACAGAGAAGTCAGACAGCTAGTAAGTAAAGGAGCCAGGCCTGAGCAAGGCCTGAGCAGAGCCCTCATGGAGCCCAGGCCTGTCTTCTTGAATGCCTTAGCTTTATGTTTCAGTTCAGGTGTATGTGTGTGTGTCTGTCTATGTGTCTGTCTGTCTGTCTGTCTGTCTGGAGGCAGTTATTAAATCTCTTCTATGATGTGGACCAGTTAAGAAAATCAGTCTTGCCATAGATAAAGCTGGCTAGGAGGATCTGGCCTGGCTGCACACTAGAGGACTTCCCCGGCATCTCAGAGGACAGGAGTCCCTGTTCTGCACGGGAGAAAATTGGGGTGTTTTTTTTTTCTAAGAGGTGAGTCACTTGGAGGGGGGGAGTACATGCCACCTCCTTGAGAGCAGAGAGTTGGTCTGTACACATCCTGTGCCCAGTGTACACAGGACTGAATATGGAGTTGTGCTGAGCAAATACTTGTTGACCCAGCTGTGGTCACTGTGTCTCTGGTATGGCAGAGACATAGCAGAGCAAATGTCTTGTAAGGCCTCACAAGAGCTTGGGTGGGGATTAGATAGCTGCACAGTGTCTGAGGTCAGGCCATGCAAACCTTTGGCCATGCCCTGGCTGTGCAGGGACTCCTGACCCACTGGCCCTTCTTCTAGAGGGCTGGCAGCCCACGACTCCTCCTCTTCCTGTCCATTGTTGCTCAGAGCTTGCTTCTCACGTGTTCTCTGGTGAACATCTTCAGATATAACCTTTCCCTTTTTTATGTCTCTTTATTGGGCTTTTGAATGAGGTTATTTCTCCATTCCTGTTTATGTCTCAAACCCTCTCCTCACTAGGGTAGATAATAGTTCTGACGACAGCCTTCATGTGCCAAGAGAAGCACTCTAGTTAATAAGGGTAAGGCTTTGAATGTACTGAAAGTCCCCAGAGGACCCATTCCAAAAGTTTTCAGATTTTTAAGAAAATATATTTTAATTAAGCAGTCAGTGAAGCACCAGCATTAAGACTAGGCGAGCTTATTATTTAGTTTTATTTTAAAATGTATTAGTACTGCAGTTATTCCACAAGCTTTCATGGCCTATGTTAAGAACCAGTTGTACTTTGTATTTTGTGGGGAAATGTGCAGTTTCCAGGTTTAGAAGAACCTACTGGCCACTAGTGTGTTCGGTGTCCTGAGGTTTTCTTGGTCAAATGCTGGGTTCCTCCTCATCAAGGCTCAAACCTAGTTAGGAATGGGGGCCTTTCTTGTCTTCATCCACATGACTTAAGAATTTTGATGTGTTTGTTTCACAGGAAAGGCCTTTGACATCACTTATGTACGTCTCAAGTTCCATACCAGCCGCCCAGAGAGTTTCGCCATTTATAAGCGCACCAGGGAAGATGGGCCCTGGATTCCTTACCAGTACTACAGCGGCTCCTGTGAGAACACGTACTCAAAGGCTAACCGTGGCTTCATCAGGACTGGAGGGGATGAGCAGCAGGCCTTGTGTACAGATGAATTCAGTGACATTTCCCCCCTCACTGGCGGCAACGTGGCCTTTTCAACTCTGGAAGGAAGGCCAAGTGCCTACAACTTTGACAACAGCCCCGTGCTACAGGTAGGCGCTCACAAGGTGGTGTGGGAGCCAGCTGTTCTACCTTGACCTTAATCGTATGGAAATTACCCAAGTGAGCAGCGGTCATGTGGGTGGCTAGATTTCATGCTGTCTCCTGTGTGTTATCTATAAGTGAAAAAAAGGCCATTTTCTTCCCACTGCCTTGGGAACATGTGTTCTAATGTTCTTTTCCTCTTAAAAATATAACCCAGGGTGCAACCTTTATAAAACACACGTTAGTTTAAGGAGGTTTTTTGAGACAAAGTCTGCCCATCTATGCAGTTGAGGATGGCCTTGAACTCCTGACCCTCTAGCCTCCACCTCCCCAGTGCTGAGATTATGGATGTGCACTACCACACTCAGCTTCTTTGCAACTCTTATTAAAGCTGAACAGTTCTAACTTTAGTCTGTGCTCTTGAGGAGGGAACATTTAGCTTCTGACATTTTCAAGAAGATATTTGGTGTAGGGCTGGGGATGTATGGTCTCATTGGGAAACGGTCCAGTCACCAGTGCCTCTAGGTTGTTGGTTCAAGGCCAACCTGAAATACATGAGATCCTGTCTCAAAAAGATTCTGATTCTTTTACATTTTGAAGTTTATTTTGTGTCTGTGTGTGTGTAAGCACAATAGCATGTGTGTAGGTCAGGAGGACAATGCATGGGAGTTGTTCTCTCTTCCCTTGGGGTCCGAGAGATGGATATGAGGTCATTAGACTTGACAGGAGGTGCCTCTGCCTGCTGAACCTTCTCACTGTCTGCCCGTCCCCCAAGTAAATAAAATAAGGTATTTGAAATAATCTTCCTTTTTTTTTTATTTTTGGTTTTTTGAGACAGGGTTTCTCTGTGTAGTCCTGGCTGTCCTGGAACTCACTCTGTAGACCAGGCTGGCCTCGAACTCAGAAATCCGCCTGCCTCTGCCTCCCAAGTGCTGGGATTAAAAGCATGTGCCACCACTGCCCGGCTAATCTCCCATTTTTCACTTTATTTATTTATTTATTTATTTATTTATTTATTTATTTATTTATTTATTATAAGTACACTCACTGTAGCTGTCTTCAGACACCCCACAAGAGGGCATCAGATCTCATTGCAGATGGTTGTGAGCCACCATGTGGTTGCTGGGATTTGAACTCAGGACCTCTGGAAGAGCAGTCAGTGCTCTTAACCACTGAGCCATCTCACCAGCCCTAATCTCCCATTTTTATTGCATCCTTTTAAAACTGTTCTTTGACTTGATCAAATAAAATGTTTATTTTTAAAATTAGCAATGGGGAAGATATTTAAGTAGTTAAGATTCCCTTCTCCCTTCCTTACGACACAAGGACACTTGTCTGTGCTGCTGATAGTCACTGTGAGAACTCTCTTCACCTGAGAAGTTGAGTTCTAGAGACAGGATAACAGTTAGGATACCTTGGCATTGTGCTTACACATCAGGTTAAAAACCTTTCCCCATCTAAGGTAGAACAATCAAGGATTCCTTTCATCCGTTCTGTGTGCACATCCCTGTACACCCTCATATGGAGTATCTGTGTATCGCTCAGATTTCTTTAAACTTCTCACATGTTCTGGCTGTGTGCTCATGGAAGAGTGAGGATCCCATGACCTTCTTAGTATGTTGATACAGACACTGATGTCATATCTATTTGCATGGTGACATTAGTATCAGTCTATATTGCAAACTGAGGAGAGCAGGAAGGACTAGCTGTGACTTTGCAGATGGGAGCATCATTTCATGAAAAGGAGTTCTTCTGGGCTTTCTACTTCTGGATTCTCAGTCTTTGTTTCTGGAGGGGTTTTTGTTTGTTTGTTTTTGTTTTTTTGTTTTGGTTTTTCAAGACAAGGTTTCTCTATGTTGCCCTGGCTGTCCTGGAACTCACTCTGTAGACCAGGCTGTCCTTGAACTCAGAAGTCCGCCTGCCTCTGCCTCCCAAGTGCTGGGATTAAAGGCATGTGCCACCACTGCCTGGCGTTTCTGGAGTTTATTATAATTACTCTTATTTTAAATTTATTTATTTTATATGTGTATATGAGAGCACCGGTGTGCACTGTACCACCCATGTGTAGGTAAGAGGACAACATGCAAGACCTTCTACTGTGTTGGTCCTGGGGATTGAACTCGGGTCATCAGCCTTGGCCACAGATATCCTTACCCACTGAGACATCTCACCAGCCCTGTAATTTGTTAATACATTCAAGGACACCTTCTGATTTAGTTGTATAGTTTTAGGTAGAGCCAAAAGATGAGAATATATTTTTCTGTGTGCCGAGGTCTCCACCCATTGTACTCTTTTGGGCTGTCAGGGAGAGGGTGAATACGGAAGTAAATCCACTAGCCAAAGCCTTTCCGTGGAGAGTTCTTGTGATGCAGATGAGATATGAGGCAGAGAGAACAGCTGATTTAAATCGATGGACTAGCTGAAGATGGAAAGACGGCCTCAGGAGAGGCGATTCGGCACACTTTGCTGCACTTGTTCCTTTGCTTGATTGTGTTTCCTGACCTGCAGAGTCTGCTGTGGGACCAGGAAAGAATGAGGTTGTAACTGGTTTTCTGGCTCCTTTGCTGCCTGCATGCCCACCAGCCTGTCCTGAGCAGACCCCTGTAGGGATTCTGCAGTTTGCTGCTCCTCATGCCTTAGAAACTAGTAAGACTATGTGTTAAGAATGCCTTGAGTGTTCATTGTGTTATGTGGTAGCTTTAATTGTGTGTGTGGATATAAGCGCCCTGGCTCTCATAGCCTGGGGCCAAATCGGGTGAGCAGATTTGATCTAGCTGATCAGTGTAAGCTGCCTTCTCTCCAGTGGAGGAGACGGAGGAGAAGGTCTCCGGTCTCACTGGCTGAGTGTTGGTGTGTGTTGGTTTGTGGTTCTCAACCTCTGTTATACACTTAGCTGTTCTGTAGTGCAGTGTGTTCTCAGCCATAGATGCCTGAGCAGCATTCTGATGTCTAGATGTATTAAGTCTTATAACCCTCGTAACTCTGTAAGGTGGGTGTTGTTTCTTATTATCTTCATTTTTACAAATGAGGTATTGGAGCTCAGAAAAGATGTAAACTGCCTCAGCGTACAGTTTTAAGCAGCAGGGCTGACACTGGGACTCTGTTCAGTTAAGCCCCAGATTCTCTGTTATGAAGACATTCCTATTGGTCGGGCGGTGGTGGCGTACACCTTTAATCCCAGCACTTGGGAGGCAGAGGCAGGCAGATTTCTGAGCCTGGTCTACAGAGTGAGTTCCAGGACAGCCAGGACTACACAGAGAAACCCTGTCTCGAAAAACCAAAAAAAAAAAAAAAAAGACATTCCTATTGGAGGCAGTTAACTCAGTGACACCCTCTGAGCTTTCCTTCTCCTATGGAAGGGGAGCTATGGTAAAGATGAAGCCTTGGAAGGTATTATTAGCATTAAGCAGAGGTGTGTTTAGCTATTTATGTTATGGACAACTAACAGACTCCTGCCATTATGGCCATGAGTGGGAGTTGTTATTGAGTTCCAAGACTGGATACAGTGAAATCATCTTCTCCATTCTAATTATACTCGAAGCTTCTCGAAGATTAGTTTTTACGAGCTCTCCTTATTGCCAGGTGTTTGGCATAGCCTAAGGCAGTGATTCTTTATCAGGAGTGCACTTGCTGGTCTCATAGAACCCTCTGGAAGCATAGATGCCTGCATCAGTTCCCCTGCTTGTACATCTGTGAGGGCGAGTCTGTCACACAGTGCTCAACAGTCTCCTGAACTTGAGTTGAAGAACCGTCTTTGGGTCTGGGCTCACTCACCAGGTGGGTCAACTGAGGGCTGAGTCTTTCGCTTCCCCTGTGGTCTTCCATGTTCAGGAAGCCAGAGCAGACGTTTCTACAGTGAGGACAAGTTCCTTGGCATCACGAATAGTCCCTGTTGAGCTTCTGCTTGTGTCATCTTGACTGATGTCCCCCGGCCAAAACCAGCTGTACATCCAAGCCCAGAGTCAGCATGGAAAGGGACTGCCCAGGGTGTGGCCCTGGCAGACTGAGTCATTGGGATGGTTTTTATAGCAGTGTGCCACTTGTGTTAGCATCTGATAAAGTTAGCTCAATGAAAACACGGTTATTATAAGGGCTTAGATATCATAAAAACCAGGGTAGTAGCGCCGCTTTTATTCTTGTCTGCTGCTGTTACGGTACACCGTTCAACTTGATCAGACCTAGATTCATTCACTTTGTGCCAAGCATGAGGGACCCTGCACTGAACAATATGGACACAGATCCCAACCCTCTGATACATTTGATCAGGTGGTGGAAGCAGCGTGGAAATGGATGACAGCAGCAAAGTGATGAAGCAGTGGTAATTTTGAGGTAGAATGGGCTAGGAAGACCCAACGGAGGTGACCTTGTACAAAAGATTACAACAGACCTAACTCAGCTGGCTTGGGTCAGTATGCTCACGCGTTACCTGGTGCTTAGGTATCTGTCTGCCCAGTGTGCCTTGCTCTCAGCTCATTCAGTTACCTCAGGAAGAAGTCCTTGACTTTGGAAACTCCAAGTTGTGAAGAGATGGTGTTACTGCAGAGGAGTCAAGGAGGAGAGTATCAGGGAATTACAGATAGTAGTGCAGTGGTTCACTAATCTAGGCGGAGACTAGCTTGGTTAGCACAGGAACTGTTCAGAGGAGTTTGTCAAATGTGTTTCTCATCTTCAGCTCTTCTGCTTCTCTTCATGTGTCTGCTTTCCTTTTTTTCTCTTCCTGGCAGGAATGGGTAACTGCCACTGACATCAGAGTGACACTCAATCGCCTGAACACCTTTGGAGATGAAGTGTTTAACGACCCCAAAGTTCTCAAGTCCTACTATTACGCAATCTCAGACTTTGCGGTGGGCGGCAGGTGAGTGTACTGTTAAATCTGCCTTGAAGGTGGTGGGACTTTGATGTAGAGCTTGGTTATGGCTTTATTAGAATTTAAGGACCATGTGGATCTGGAAAGACAAGCTGTAACCTAGAAGACTTTTTCTTATCAGATCTTCTCTTCTGGAAGCTAAGCAACTGGGTTTTCAGAAACCTTGTTAAATCTACATTTATTGACCATTTACGTGCAGAATCCAGTAATAGGTTCTGCAGAACTGTTACCTAACGGAGAAGACTTGACCTAGGAGCTTAGGAGGGAGTTAAGGATGATTCTTTAAAAAAAGAAAAGACTTATTTATTTTATGTATATGAATACACTGTCGATGTCTTCAGACACACCAGAGGATGGCATCAGATCCCATTACAAATGTTTGTGAGCCACCATGTGGTTGCTAAGAATTGAACTCAGGACCTCTGGAAGTGCAGTCAGTGCTCTTAACCACTGAGCCATCTCTCCAGCCCCAAGGATAATTTTTACTTAAATAAGTAAAAATTGAAATACAGGTTGAACATCCCTAATCTACTACCTCAAGGTGTTCTAGTTTGTTTTCTGTTGTTGTGAAAAACACCCAACCCAAAGCAAGTTAGGGAAGGAAAACTCCCGATTATAGTCCATCACTGAAGGAAGTTAGGGCAGAAACTCCAGCAGCGTGGAGGCAGGGACTGAGCCATAGACTGTGGAGGGGTGCTGCTTACTGGGTTGTTCTCCATAGCTTGCTCAGTGTGCTTTCTTACACAGTCCAGTACCATTGCCTAGGCATAGTACTACCTACATAGCTGGCCCTCCCCACTTCTATCTTTCATCAAGAAAATGCCTACAGACTTGCCTACAGGTCAATCTGATAAAGGCATCGATATCAGTTGAGGGTCCTCCCAGATTCCCCACACTTATACCAAGTTGATAGAAAAACTGACCAGCACAGAATACTTGAAATGTTACAAAATAAAATATTTTCTGGTGTTCATGTGACGTCACAAGCGGACAGTCAAAATGCTGGTCCCTGAGTGTTGTGCAAAATTACCTTCAGGCCATGAAATTCATGCTGTGACTTGGTCGCACTCCCAAGATACAGCAGTCTGGTTTTGAAAAAGTTCAAGAATCCAGAGACTTCCATTCTCAAGCATTTGGGGAGGGTGTTGGACATTCAGCTTTTGCTAATGCACCCATGTGTTCAAAACAAAAAATGTCATGAATCAAGATACAGAACTGTAATACTAGAGGAGCAGGTGGAGTCTGGATTGGTCTTAAAGGACAGGTAGGATTTGAGTAGAGATTTGGGTAGAGATTTGGGTTGAAGATGTCTGGATTGAGTGCAGGAGGATGGGTGGGTCATTCTGCTTGATGGGAAGAAGACATCTTTGCACAACTGTAAACCAGAAAGATTGCTTTATGGCCAGAGACAACAGGCTAAGAATCATAGACTTTCTTCACTTGTGTTAGCCCGTGAGGTCTCAAGAGCAGAAAAATTATTTTTGTATATGGTTTTCCTGGCATGTTCGGTAAGATTGGTTTGAAATGTAACCACTGAGAAATTGAGCAGTGTTTGGAGTAAGGCTGTAATATGAAAACTGAGTTAGAAAGATGAGTGTTTGTTGACAGTAGAGGCTAAGGGTGCTTAGATAGCTATGAAGACACCATGAAGCCCATTACGCTATATCCTAGCCTGCAGAACCAGTTCAAAAGAAATGTCTCAGATGAGTGTGGGAACAGGGTAAAGGTGCAGATGGCTGGTAGAATTTCCATTCCTCTTTGATGCTGTATAATCTGAATATGAAACAGCAAACACCTGATACCATGCCGATCGAGAAGGACATATAGCTGCATTTTATTGTGAAAAGAAAATTACCAGGTCTTTAGTCTAAGATGATCTTAAGGTCTAATGATCAAGAGAACAGTGCTTCCACCAATAAAGAAATTGGGCTAACTTGGAGGAGATGATGCATTTAGTTGTAGACATGTACAGTTTTAGGTCCTGGGAGACATTAAGTTTGTATAATCACCAAGGACAGGAGCCTTAGAGAAGGATGGGAACAGAATTATCAAGGCGGGATTCATCTCTGCAAAATGAAGATGATTCCAGTGTGCACAGACATTTGTAGGTGTAGGTGAAGCTGTAGAATTGCTGTCTTTAAGGAAGCAAGTGAGGGAAATGTCTGTACCATCCATACTCACATCTCCAATTTCCCTCTGGCCCCCAGTTCATTGCTATACTTGCACCTAGGGGATCCTTCAGTGATCCGTGCCCACAGAGAGCCCAGGGGGACTGTTTACTACTGGGCATCTATGGGAAATGAGGCCTCAAAGTTAGTGGCTCACCTCCTTCAGTCGGAAGCACACTCATTAGGGTGAATTACTGATATGTGTATTAACTTGTATTCTGTGCAGTCCTGTGCGCAGAAATAGAGCAATTCCCAGTGACTCTGAGAGGAGCTTTATCGTCGTCTCTGTTTTACAGGTGAGACTGTAAGTGACAGGGAAGGGTTTTAAACCCAAGTGGCCTGGTGTCAAACTTCATTTATTCTTAGCCATTGTCTTCTGCTGCTTCCTGACAGTCTTAACTTCAGGAAACATCCTGCAGGTGTTCTTAGAAACTGTTAGGGACTTTCTACTGTCTAGTTAATGTCCCATCTTGGGATTTTTGGTTTTGTGTGTGTGTGTATGTGTGTGTGTTTCAGCTTATCCTTGGCAAGCTCCTCAGTTTATACTTTTGAATGGTAAAAGTCAAAGAATTCTTAGGTTGCTTTTGGTTTGCTATGTACACATTTCTTCTGCATCTCCCAGCAGTTCCATTCTTAGCTATTCCTATCTTCTCTCCAGGTGTAAATGTAACGGGCATGCCAGTGAGTGTGTAAAGAACGAGTTTGACAAACTCGTGTGCAACTGCAAACATAACACATACGGAGTTGACTGTGAAAAGTGCCTGCCTTTCTTCAATGACCGGCCGTGGAGGAGGGCGACTGCGGAGAGCGCCAGCGAGTGCCTGCGTGAGTCCTGCTGGTGTAGCCTGCCCGTTGTTTGTCTTAAGGACTATAGCAGGAGGGAGGATAGGTGACTTCCTCATCATCGATGAAATCTGTGAAAGGCATTGCTCCTGAAGGGCAGGGTACTGAACCACATGCATGTCAGAGGAAAACGATAAATGAGGAAGTTGGTTGTGAATAAACCCCCCTGGTTTTGTTTCCTTCGTGAACATTAGCTAGGAAGCAAATCTCCAAGGTTCAGGAGTTTGATTAGACTCAAATACTGTGCCAATGTAGCACCTCTAAAATGTGACCTCTGTAGTCACTGTGGCCCTTTAAAATCAACCATTCCTCAGTATCTGTATGAGATGGATTCCAGAACCTTCCTCACATACACGTCCATGCACATTCAAGCTCTCTATGTAAAATGGCGTAGTATTGGCATGTGGCTGTGCACTCTCTTCCACGCTTGTTGTCTGTTCTGTTGGTTACAGTGCAGATGCCATGTAAATAGTTGTCCCACATTGTTTGGGGAAATAGGACAATAGAGAAAAGTCTGTATATATGTACAGACATAAGTACAGACATTATTTCTCCCCTAAATAGTTTCTCTTGAGAGTTGATGGGATCTGTGGGCGTGCATCACCCTAGGTACACTTGTTCAGATTCCTTCACTCAAGCAGCCAGCTTGGTTAGCATGTGTCAGGTACACTGACTTGATTCATCTTTCCTTTCTCTGACCAATGGGAATAGTGGGAAGAGTTTGCCCAGACACTGCCCTGCAAATCTGGGTGGCTTTGGGAGATGGGGTAGGTCCTGTGCCCTAGTAAGGGTCAAGATGAAGAAGTTAACAAATGTTTATCCTTCATAATGTCTTGATTTTGCACAGCCTGAGAGGAGAACTCTGGAGAGGAAACGTAGAGTTGTGATTTGTGAAAGGCTTAATAGGAACAACCTTTAAAGCAACCACAGTGTTCTTGAGTTCTTTGTTAGGGTGAAAAACAGAAAGACTGAGAAAAGGGACACTTGGAACTTGGAGCAATTACCACAGCACCTTGAGAAGGAACTACCTCCTGACTTTTGACTGTTTTCACTGAGCTGTCTTGAGCAGATTCATCTTTAATTTCTCCCAACAAACCCCAGAGTTGTTGATAAACTTTCTAGCTTCCACTAGTGTTTCTAAGCATTCCAGGAGCTCCTTTAATCCCATTACCACACTAATGTAATTGGATGTTGTAAGGTGAGGACTCGTGAAAGAGGTACATGAAGCACTCCTAAAACATGTCATCTAAACACATGTGCATTTGAAAAGTAATGTGCATGCAGATGCCATGTTTCTAGTCTATCCAGGAAATAAGAGCAAACAAAATACTGTTAGTTCGCTGCTAACCAGCTTTGATAAGGAGTTCACTGGGTTTGCTTTCCTCCATAGTCTTTTCAGGACTAACCCTTCAGAGTAAAGTTCATGGATGATGTGACTATAGCAGGACAATCCAGAAACTGAGGCTAGACAAGGCAGGAAAATGGCTGTCTTCTCTTATCCTAGCTGTTTATGAGAGAGGCACAGCACATGCTGTGGCAGCTTTGGGCAGGAACAGAGTGGACATGAGAACCACTCTGCCTCCTGATCCACACCGGACCACTCCTCTGGAAGGCTGGGTTGACTCCAAAGTGACATAGAACAGCTTGGGGTAAGACAAAGAGCAAGTGAAAGGGGAAGGCACTGTACAACAGCTACTGAAAAGGGGCGGGTACCAGCTTAACAAACTTGGTGCCAGCAACTCAAGTTTCTAAAAATGTAGAAAACACATATTCAAATATCTTTTAAAATAGTTTGAAAAGTATCATAAATCAAGCAAAACTTTGTTTTTATGTGCTGGCCAAGAGCTTATATGTGCTTTGGACAGATTAAGTCTGAGAAAGTCATCTCACTAAAAGCAGCACTAAAGACTCAAATATTTATTTATTTGTTTATTTTAGAGACCGGAACTCAGTATGTAGCCCTGGTCTGGAACTCACTGTGGAGACTAGTCTAGCCTCAGACACATAGAAAATTGCCTTCTAAGTGCACACTGCCAAGGCCAGCCAGTTACTTAGTTTTAAAGTATGGTTGTATTTAACAGATGACCTAGTTAGGACTGTGGTTGCCCAGCAGATGGATCTGAAGTGTCTAGATTTCCCTGTAATTCTGCTTGCGTCATCGGACAAGCTAATTTAAACCTACAAGTCTCATGTTCCCTGGTCTGGAGAGAGTAATCTGGCCCCTTGGAAGCTGGTGTCTTAATGTGTTTGAATTGTTGAGGCAAATGTTCAAAGAAAAGATGCATGAAAAATTAGTACCTTGTTTTTGCTCTCAGTGCTAGGAGAGGATAAAGAGTTAGGAAAATGGGTGTGGTGATGCATGCTGTTACCCCAGGGTGCGCTGGGAGGCAGAGGCGGGCAGATGTATGACTCAAGGCCAGGTCTGCAGAGTGAGTTCCAGACCAGCCATCACTGCATAGTAAAATCCTGTCTAAGAACACAGTTAGAAAAACAATCATTTGACTTGGCTCTTATGTAAGAAGAGCCACTGGGAGACAGATTCTTTTCTGAATATAGGAGTTCTTCTTATGTATCCGTTTTCTATAAGGATAGATATTTCTTAGTAAAGTGATGGATGGCCAGGCTTTCTGAATTTGTAGATATACTGGATTTTTAAATAAACAGTGTACCCAATAGTCGTTTTTATTCTATACCACCTGTCACAGAGATGTAGGAAATTGTGGTTTGGTTTTTTTGAGAGTCTTTTTTTTTTTTTTTTCCCGAGACAGGGTTTCTCTGTGTAGCCCTGGCTGTCCTGGAACTCACTCTGTAGACCAGGCTGGCCTCAAACTCAGAAATCCGCCGGCCTCTGCCTCCCAAGTGCTGGGATTAAAGGTGTGCACCACCACCGCCCACCAAGAGTCTTTCTTAAAGGCATACACGTCTTGGAGGCTACTGCGCTGACTCACAGGTTGAGAACACTTACTCATCTTCCAGAGTTTATTTCCTAATAAAGCACCTGTGTTGGGCGGCTCACCACTGCCCCTAACTCCAGCTGGGATCTAACCCTCTGCAGGCGTCCCCCAATACACACGTGGCATTCACTCACACAGATATAGACATACATTTTCTTTAAAGGTATACTTATCTGGCATAACTTGTATATTTAGCTTGTGACTGCAATGGCCGATCCCAAGAATGCTACTTCGACCCTGAACTATACCGTTCCACTGGACATGGCGGCCACTGTACCAACTGCCGCGATAACACAGATGGTGCCAAGTGTGAGAGGTGCCGGGAGAATTTCTTCCGTCTGGGGAACACAGAAGCCTGCTCTCCATGCCACTGCAGCCCCATTGGTGAGTGACATCCATCTCACTGGGTGGAGTAAGATGAAACAGGAATCTCCTGAGCCCCAGGAAAGAAAGCTTTGCTTTCTGAGCATGTGCACAGTAAAGGTGGCAGCATGTATGCTGTTCTAGCTTATAAACGTCTCACTGCTCCTTCATGCTAAGCAAGTTGAACTCTCAGATAACTTTCTAGTGTGTATAGAAGAAGTAAGTGGTTCTGTAAATAATTGGCAGCTGGGTCATAGACCATTTGAACTTTGACTACGAAAGGCTTTTCCTTGTTAATGATTTTGTTTAGTCTGATGTCCGTAGAGAGCTGAGCTGTGTACAGCACGTTAGTGTCTGTCTAGAGATATGTAGCATTTCATCTCTTATGATCTTTTTGGGGAGGGGATGGGACTTGGGCTAATATTTTGTTGTTTGTGCTTTTGTATACTAAAATTCTAGATGGAAGCCTTAAGGAACATTTGATTGCCAGAGACTAGACTTGTCTGTGTGTACTGTATCGCTGGGTACAGTTTTGTTCAAGAGCAGAGGGTAGATTTACTTCGGGGTGTGCCTGTTAGGGCTTATAAAGCTATGATTTACAAAGAGCTGTCATTTGGAATTCAGTCCTGATTTTCTCTGTCATCTAGAAATGGCATACTGGTCGTCAGGCTTTGCTTATTGCTCCTGCTTGTGTTTGCTTTGACATTGGTTTTTACTTATCCGTCTGTCCAGACTTGGGGTTGAACATGAACTCATTGCATTTTAGGTTCTCTCAGCACACAGTGTGACAGTTATGGCCGGTGCAGCTGTAAGCCTGGAGTGATGGGCGACAAGTGTGACCGTTGCCAGCCTGGGTTCCATTCCCTCACTGAGGCAGGATGCAGGTAAATGTTTTCAGAACCAGAGACTGGTCCTGAATCTGCACAGGGAAGCAGTATCTATAGTGAGAACACTTTCTCAGCAGTAATGGTCAACAGGCTTCCAGACTAGACATGATGATGCCCTCGGGGTTTTGGAGAGTACAAAAAAGTGTTTCTTACTAGTTTTAAGTTATTGTGCACAGTGTTAGGTTTTATCACCAGTGATGAGTATTCTTGACTGAAACCAAATCCAAATATAACAATGGCAGGAGTTTACCCTGTCCTTTAGCAATGCTCTGTGTGTAGAATCTGCTGTTGTGTAAAACAGGTCGACTTTCAGAGAGAGGCTTCTTTCCTGTCGGTTCTTTTTATTTAATTCTATTACCCTCAAACAGGCCATGCTCCTGCGATCCTTCTGGCAGCACAGACGAGTGTAATGTTGAAACAGGAAGATGTGTTTGCAAAGACAACGTTGAAGGCTTCAGCTGTGAGAGGTAGCTCCAGCTTTCTCCAGTGTCTTCCTTGGCGTCAGACTTCCCGAGAAAGCAATGGCTGATCATGCCTTACTCTCTTTCAGATGCAAACCTGGGTTTTTTAATCTGGAGTCGTCTAATCCTAAGGGTTGCACACCCTGCTTCTGTTTTGGGCATTCTTCTGTGTGCACAAATGCTGTCGGCTACAGTGTTTATGACATCTCCTCCACCTTTCACACTGGTAAGTTATCTCTTAGTCACCGCCTCACAGGCCTCCAGAACTCCCGAAACCATTTCTGTATGGATATTTTTTTTGAATCAGTAACTTGGGAGGGTTTTTGATACTAGGAACATCTGATGCTACTAATACACATGGTTTTTCTCTTGTGTGGCCCTTTAATGAGAACATACATATGGTTTTAGAGAATGTACTATATATAGTAAGCAGTAACTATAAATATTTTATTAAAAATACAGCAAAATGTGTCTTTCAGGGGACAATATATATAGGTTCTGTTGTAGGGTCAATTTTTTTTTATTGGTGATTTTCTCTATAGAAAGTGCGGTTTCATACATTTTGTGGGGCCTGGATATAGGATGTTTGTCATCTGAGTGTGCTTGGGTTCTTCGTCCCTACCTGCAGATGAGGATGGGTGGCGTGTGGAACAGAGAGATGGCTCAGAGGCGTCCCTCGAGTGGTCCTCAGACAGGCAGGATATCGCTGTGATCTCTGACAGTTACTTCCCTAGATACTTCATCGCCCCGGGTAAGTGAGGTTGCAAAGCCACATGGCTTTCTGGGTGCTTCTCTTGGTCACATCCTCACACTCTGACCCAGTCTAATGTCTGCCTTCTAGCAAAGTTCCTGGGCAACCAGGTCCTGAGTTACGGGCAGAACCTTTCCTTCTCCTTCCGAGTGGACAGACGGGACACTCGCCTCTCTGCAGAGGACCTAGTGCTTGAAGGCGCTGGCTTGAGAGTATCTGTGCCCTTGATTGCTCAGGGAAACTCCTATCCTAGCGAGACTACTGTGAAGTACATCTTCAGGTGAGACTGTTCTGTCAATTCAGGCCTACCAGCTGAGAAAGAGAAAGTGGTTTTCTAAGTGTTTTATCTAAGTTGATCTGACCTCAAGGTGTGTTTTAAAGAAAAACTTCTGGGCTAGATGTGGTGGCTCATGCTAATTATCCTAGACCAGTAGAGGTTGAGGCAGAAGGAATGCCAGGAGTTCAAGGCCAGCCTAGATTACATAGCTAAATTCTCTGTAAAAACAAAACAAGCAAACAAACAAAAAAACCCTTATGGATTATTGACATGAGCCTTTTTTTTTTCTTTTTATCTTTCTCTTTTCTAGTTGTACTGAGAAACTGGCAATGCTGTCTTTATTTGGTTAGATTTTCAATATTGCCTGTGGTGGCAAGAACCAGCCTCCTTGCCAATTATCCTTACAGAGGTTCTGTGTCCTTTCTTTGTCTCCAGGCTCCATGAAGCAACGGATTACCCTTGGAGGCCTGCTCTCTCCCCCTTTGAATTTCAGAAGCTCCTAAACAATTTGACCTCTATCAAGATCCGTGGCACATACAGTGAGAGAAGTGAGTTGTGATGTCATTAGGAGTTGAGTCAGAAGGTGACTGGGTAGAAGGACTCATGCGAAAGAAAAGGTCCTGTCCTGATGTGTTCACACTGATCAACTGTATTATCAACTATATATTAACATGTACTTTGAAACTCTCTGCAAGGATCTGGAGAACATTCACTAAAATTAGTGACAGTTGTATTTTATAATTAATAAGCCAATTGAAATGCCATTGTATATAGATTTTTCTCAGTCTTATTATTAATTACTGGTTCAACTTGCTTGACCTTCAACCTTCATTTCTTTTTGTTTACTACCATATAATTATCAAGTGATTTGAACTATTGGCTAACTTATCAGAGACTATGTATGATCCTGTGAACATTTGCTTTAATGTTGTGTAAACAAGGGTTTAAAAATATGCCTTCAAGAACTTACTGATGAGAGCTTTTTTCCCTTTGGGTAAGTAAAAGCTGTAACTTAGATGTGTTGGGGTGTTTGTTTGGTTATTTTTGAAATCCCTGCATGAGTGTATCCAGATGGAAATGTTTTATAAGTAAATACTAATATGGATCTGGGCCCTTGGAAGAGGTTTGGATTATAAATGTAGGTTAGAAGTTGTCTACATTTTGGTCATTTACTTTTAAATTTGGGAAAACAGAGAAAGGGAATGGGATCCTATAAGCAGAGTTGAAGTCTGTGCCCTGAGGCCCACGGAGGAGAATTTGGGGAAGAAAGAATAGTTGTAGGTTTGGGACAAAAGCACCACTGGGTTTTAGCTGGGCATGGAGAGGTGACTGGAAGGAGCTTAGCTTTGGCTTAGTGTGGAAACTGAGCAAGATCCCAGGACTCTCTGAACAGTGATTGTGAATGTGAGAAAGTAAAATAAAGAATATTCTCTTCAAGAAGTTTGAAAGAGAGGAAAAGAGATGAATTATCATTGGGGAGTAGGAGCAAGATTAAAGGGAGAATATTTTTAGGCCAGGGAGATAGAAGAATGTTTAGAGATTGGAAGTACATCATAAGTCATGATCTGACTGGAAAAAAGCCGTACTCCTACTAAAAGTTAAGTTCAAGCCAGCAATAGAAGTTTCCTTCGGCCTAGGTGGTCAGTTTTCACGTGAATTGTATAAACACCAAGTCATGTTCCATAACATGGGAGGAGTGTACTTTACCCATGATGGTATCTCCAAGGCCACTTTATAGCCTTAGAGCATAGCAGCTGGTTCTGCTAGATTGGATGGGCCATTGGTCTAGCTCATGGAAATGCAAGAGCATGACTCATGACCTAATGGCTTTGGGTGGATTGCACACTTGTCAGAGCTATACAATCTTCCGTGTGTGTGTGTGTGTGTGTGTGTGTGTGTGTGTGTGTGTGATATGTTTCTATAACTTTGCCATACCTCGGCTCCACGAGTACCCTGTAACACATGGTTGCCTTGGATGCTGTTTTCTGGTTGCCGTTCCCGATGAGTGATTTAAACTGATGGTTAGTTTTGTCTGTACTCTTGAGTCTGGCTTCTCACAAGCTTGATGAGCTTCTGGGAGCTGGAAGGCACCTCAGTGCTTCTCTTTTCCACATCAAAATAGGTGCTGGGTATTTGGATGATGTCACCTTGCAAAGTGCTCTTCCTGGGCCTGGAGTCCCTGCCACGTGGGTGGAGTCCTGCACCTGTCCAGTGGGGTATGGAGGGCAGTTCTGTGAGATGTGCCTCCCAGGCTACAGAAGAGAGACTCCAAGCCTTGGACCTTACAGCCCGTGTGTGCTCTGTACCTGTAATGGGCACAGTGAGACCTGTGACCCTGAGTCAGGTAAGAAGGCCTGAGGCCACTGCTGGGCCTGCGGGTCCTTTTGCCGTTAGTAGTGGCATCCATTGTCTTCTTGTCATTTACCTGATGGTGTATCTCTATTCTCACAATAGGTGTCTGTGACTGCAGAGACAATACAGCCGGCCCCCACTGTGAGAAATGTAGTGATGGGTACTATGGAGACTCAACCCTGGGCACCTCCTCTGACTGCCAGCCTTGTCCCTGCCCTGGTGGCTCAAATTGTGCCATTGTCCCAAAGACAAAGGAAGTGGTGTGCACGCACTGTCCAACTGGCACAGCTGGTGAGTCTGCCTTGCTCCCTGTCCTTTCAGAGTCTATACAGTTGTCAGCATTTACACAGCCTTCCTCAGGCAACCTCACAGCCCCAAGACGGAACTGTGGCTGTTGTTTTGCTGTGACTAAGAAGGACACAGAAACAGTTGAGTGCCATGTCCAAGGCTGTGTGGCAAGGCACTGGTGAGCTGGGGCTGCAACACACCCTTGTGACTACAAATAGAACTGTCACCGTATAACGTTATCTCGTAAAGTGATAACCCAAACTGGGCTTTCATTGCTGGCTTGTCTGGAATTGTTCATGTGAAATGGCAATTTTAAAATTCTTTCTCTGAATCACCCTTCCATCATCTCAGAGTCCGTCACATTAGATTGGGAACACACGCCTTATTTATTTATTTATTTATTTATTTAAAGAGCTTTGGGTAGCTGGTTGGTGGTGGCACACGCCTTTAATCCCAGCACTTGGGAGGCAAATGAAGGTGGATTTCTGAGTTCGAGGCCAGCCTGGTCTACAGAGTGAGTTCCAGGACAGTCAGGGCTACACAGAGAAACCCTGTCTCAAAAACCAAAAAAAAACAAAACAAAACAAAAACCAAACAAACAAAAAAAAGAGCTTTGGGTAGACCTCTGTCTCCATTCATTTCCCAAAGAACATAAAAATTATATCTATTTTAGGTGATCATAGCTACTCTGACCACGGAGGGGTCGGGTTCACTAGCAGACCACCGGTCCCTGGCTTACTTTGCCTTCACTGTGAAGGGCAGGAAGACAAAACCAGGGCTACACGGCATGCTCCTTGGTCAATTCGAGTAAGGAGTGTGGGAGTTGAACTTTGACCCTACACTTTGAAAGCAAATTGCATTTTGGAATGAGTTTAACTCAGGCTACCTGGTGTTTCTGTTTTAGTCTGATTCAAAACACAGTTCAAGCTTTTGAAGTGTAGATTGCCTGTGGACTAACTACACTATCAGAGGAGGCATCATAGCTGGAATGCCACCTTTGTACCCTGTGATGATGGCTCTGTGGGAGGCTGGTGGCTGCCCTCAGCAGGGCCAGGAGGATCCCCCATTCCCCTCTGCTCTCCTGCATTCTCATTTCTGCCCTCTGCCTTACCTCCTGCTCGGCTTCTTGACCTGTGTGTTTGCTTGTCAGGTCTAGTGGTCAGTATCATGGCCGTGCTGGACAGTGTGGCTGACTATCCCCAGATCTGTATTCTGACCTCTCACTCTCCTTGGTTTTCTTCCCTTTCCTCTTGGGTACCCCTTGATCACCTTTTTATTTCAACTGGAGATTTTCATATGAGTTTGATGATCAAGCTACCAAGTCTGTATTCTACCACTGGGCTTACTATGGTATACGCGCGCACACACACACACACACACACACACACACACACACACACACACGTGACTTGCCTAGTAGCTTGTCACTGCACTTGAATTTAAACCTTCCTGCCACCATGGTCCGACCTGGGTTAGTTGGTTCTGTTTCTGTGTATAGCCTTGTTCAGAAGTGTTCCCATAGGTATTCTCCTGACAGACTTATCTGAATTCTAATCCTAATGCCTCGTCTCCCAATGTAAAATGGCCTACACCTTCACTGTCATTTTAGCCACGGGGTTTGGTTTAATGTTCTTGTGTTTGTCTGCATCTGACGTCTCGTGTGCATATCTATGCTGTCCCTCTAACTGCAGTAGCAGCTTCATGGGAGCAGAGACCACATCCACCGACTCACACCCTGGAAGAGTGCTGGTGTGGATAGGAGATGCTCACAGGCAGCTGTATAGTGAGTTAGCAAACAAACCTAATTACTGAGAAACACTGGCCTCTCTTAGGCCCTGTTGGCTGCACAGATGGAAGAGCCCATCTCCAGGTGCCGGTGGCAGGGATGTGGGGAAGGATGGAGCAGACATGGGTGGGTGATACCTGATTCTCTTCTGGAGTTCGACATTAGCTGACAGTGCTTGACCAGGGATGGTGGATGTCTTTTATAAGTTAAGAGAGACCCTGCTCGGCCTGTCATTTGGAAAACTTAAAGCATCAAAGGTTGTACTTCGTCTTTTTAAGTTCAGCTTGAGGCTGTGTAGATGGGTTATTCCTTGGGAATGCAGAGGATGGTAAACCTTGGGCCTGTCTCATTCACCAAGAATTTTAACACATCATCTTGGTTAATTGTCAGAGAGTTTAAAACAAGGTAGGCAAACCAGGGACTGCCCTACTGAGGAAGTATGTCAAGGCCACTCCACTGCCTTGGCCCAGTGCTGAGGCCTGGATTTCCTGTTCACACCATACCACAAGTCCTTGTATGTACCTACTGGTAATCTAGAGCAGGAATGCCTCAGGCCTTTCTCCTTTAACCTCGGATCCTCTCGTTTCCAGGTAAGAGATGTGAACTCTGTGATGACGGCTACTTTGGAGACCCCCTGGGCAGCAATGGACCAGTGAGACTGTGCCGCCCGTGTCAATGTAATGACAACATAGACCCCAACGCAGTTGGCAACTGTAACCGCCTGACGGGAGAATGTCTGAAGTGCATCTATAACACAGCTGGCTTCTACTGTGACCGATGCAAAGAAGGGTTTTTCGGGAATCCCCTGGCTCCCAATCCAGCAGACAAATGCAAAGGTTAGCCTCTGGCCAGACTCAGTCACACACACACCTTGATATGCAGATCCATCGTGGAGTCTCTTTTAGTACTTACAAAAGTTTGCACAAATGCAGTATGAACCACTTACATAACTTAATACTGCTACACTCAAAAATAATAAAACAGGTGAATTAATTTATTATAACAATGTAGCTGACATTGTATTGCTTATTATTATGCAGGTAATAATCAGTTAAAAACTGTTAATGAGATGGTTCTTTTTTACCCTATGTTTACAAAGTCCATGTGTTTTAATTGATAGCATATCTCTGTTCAGATTGCCAAGACAAGACTATCTGTGCCTATCAGCTTCTGTATGAGACAACACAGGCCTAAAGAACCTGTTCAAGTGTCTTATGTTTTAGTGCATTCCCTGGTGATTTCCATCTGTTGCTCTCTCTGTCTTCCCACCCTAGCCTGCGCCTGCAATCCCTATGGGACAGTACAGCAGCAGAGCAGCTGTAACCCGGTGACTGGGCAGTGCCAGTGTCTGCCTCATGTGTCTGGCCGGGACTGTGGCGCTTGTGACCCTGGCTTCTATAACCTGCAGAGCGGGCAAGGCTGCGAGAGGTGAGACTTGAGTTTTTGTGTGAAGTGATCCTTGCTGTCTGTATCATAAGAAGTACATATTTCCAAGTTATTCTTAAAAGCTGGCTTGATGATGTTTAGGAATTGTTTTTAGTGTCTTATGCAGGAATGGCACTGTATAAGAGAACTTAAGTAAGTGACAGTGACAGTCCTGGTGTGTCAGATACTTCAAAATGCAGATTGCAAGGTTTCTTCTGAGACAGACTCATCAGGGCTGCAGCCTGGGAGTCTATCCAGTTCTCAGTCATTAGGGTTTAGTGTGGAGGTTGCTGATATTAGGAAGTCTTGACAAAGAGCCCTGAATAGCACTCACAGAAAGTGTTTGGACATAAGGGAACAGACCTTAACATCCCGACAAATAGTCCTTAACATGCTGCCTTTTGGTAGAGAATGTTGCTTGCACTCTCCTCTCTTACCCTAGAAATGTCTTGTGCTTCTCTTCAGGTGTGACTGCCATGCTTTGGGTTCCACCAATGGGCAATGTGACATCCGCACCGGGCAGTGTGAGTGCCAGCCTGGCATCACCGGTCAGCACTGTGAGCGCTGTGAGACCAACCACTTCGGGTTTGGACCTGAAGGCTGCAAACGTAAGACATGGTGACTTTAGTGCAGTGTCTCCCAGACATTGATAGCCTCTGTGCCATGGAAGAGACTGTGAATATTATAAATTATAAATATTATAAAACTTTGGAAATCAAGGGCCTTTTGGTTCCTCTGTAACCCCCTTGTTGATGTCTTTCTAGTTTCTTATACCTATTCCTCCTTGTAATCTTGTTTTCTAAAGAAAAAAAAAATCTCCCCTTAAGTACTGAGCTTGCCCACTCTGCTTGTTAAGACTTGTTTATCGATTGCATCGTCACTGCAGATAAGGAAACCGCCCTGGGTTCTGCTCAGCCGCTGTTGGCTTACTGTGGTTACCTTCCACCCTTGGAGCCTCTTTGGTTTGGTTGCGTGTAAACATCTGCTTCTCCTTGGCGTAAACACTTGCCTGAAAATCAGTACAGCTTTGGATTTTTTTGCTTTCTGAATTCCTTCAGTTCTTCTGTGGAATGTAGAATAAGTCATTGAGTAAGTTCAGAGAGCAAAGTGAGAAAACAAACTGTAAAGAAATGCAAGAAGTGTTAGCATTTGGGTTTTCTTATTTCTTAGAGAAATTGAAGCTGTGGAAAGACGAAAGTAGAAAGGAATTCCTGAAGCATAAAGAGCACTACACCATTTAATAGGCTGTGTGTGTGTGTGTGCATGCGCATGCGTGTGTCTGTGTGTGTGCATGTATGTCCGTGCGTGTGTGAATGTGTGTGCGTGTCCGTGTGTGTGTGAGTGTGTGTGTTGTTTGTGTAGCTCAGGCTGACCTCACTTCCCCTTCTTCTACCTCCCAGAGGCATATTCTCCACCATGCCTGATATCCATGTAATTATTACCACATAAAATGTGCCCCAAGGGGATGCAGAAGTGACTCAGTTGATGAAGCGACCAGGAGTGCCTGAGTTCAGATCCCTAGTACACATAGAAAAAGGCAGGTAGATCCCTGGAGCTCAGTGGCCAGCAGGTCAGGTTGACATACATGTCTCAGAATATAAGGGAGATCTGGGCACAGTGGCATACACCTTTCATGCCAACACAGCGGCTCTGCCTTAAGTCCAGGACTCGAAAGCAAAGGTTGGCAGAGCTCTTGTGAGTTGGAAGCCATCCTGGTCTCCATAGTGAGTTCCAGGCCAAGCAAGGCTACATAATGAGACCCTGTCTCAAAAACACACACAAAAATAAACAACAGAAATTAGGTAAAAGGTGGTGGAGGGGGATAGATAACCAGTGTTGACCTCTGACCTTTGTAGGCACATGCATGCACATGTGTGTACACATATGTCACACACAAAATGTGCTCCAAAGGATACTCATGTTATTTCACAACTTACTTTCCCCTTTAAAATGTCTATCTTGTCTGCTACGTGGACTTAGCCATTTAAAAATCTCCTAAGTGAATTTTCCATAAGTACTCAGAGTGATGGTCCAATCAGTCTGAGTTACAGTGAGAGTTGTCTCCTCGTTCCATAGCTTGTGACTGTCACCATGAAGGATCTCTTTCACTCCAATGTAAAGATGACGGCCGTTGCGAATGCAGGGAAGGCTTTGTGGGCAATCGCTGTGACCAGTGTGAAGAGAACTATTTCTACAATCGGTCTTGGCCTGGCTGCCAGGAGTGTCCAGCTTGTTACCGGCTGGTGAAGGATAAGGTAAGCCCTCAGTAGGGCATTCATTCATTCATTCATTCACTCACTCACTCATTCCTTCAGCAAATGTGAAGTAGAAACTTAGTCTACTCTAAGCTCCAGAGGAAAAAATGATGAACACATTGGACTTGGTCTCTTCTCAGAGGTGTGTGTTCTAGTGAGGGGGAATGACCAGAACCGCATGTGTAAGAGAGGTACTGAGAGAGGTGCCTGATGGAAAGGAATAGGTAATAACTGTGCAAGGCCCTTGCAAGGAAACTCTTGTGATGTCAGATCCTCAGGATAGAAGCGGAAGCCGTGTGAGGAGGAATGTGGTAGGCAAAGGCCTAGAACCTGGAAGCGGCCTGGATCCTGCCCTGGGAAGAACTTTGTTGGTGGCAAGTTATATAGGACTGTGTTGTCTGTAAGCGAGGAGTTTGGGAAATTATTTCCAAATCCAGTGGGAATAATGTACAAAAGTCCAGTACGAGGAATGTCATGACTGCCATGTGAAGAAGATTATTAGGGATGGGGTGAAGGGGAAGCCCTTGCATGGACAAGAGAGACCAGCACTGGGAAAAAGAAGAATCAAGAATAGGCCTTGGGGTTATTGCTTAATGTTGCTGGAGATGGTTTTAGGTCCCCAGGGAGAACAGATTCTAGAGTTCAGTTTGAGATGCAGGGATGTAAATGATGCTCAAGGGAGCGGTCAGGACTGGAGCTGTCAGTAAGCTGTATGTGCAGGAAGAATGGTACCAAAAGCTTGCCATGGAAACCAGAGAAATAGCCTTTGCTGTCTGTGAGCGGTACAGACCTCCCTCATGCAGAGCTCCTGTTTCCTGCAGTGTACACAGCCTACCTCTCTTTTTTCTGTCCTCCTCAGGTTGCTGAGCATCGAGTGAAACTCCAGGAGTTAGAGAGCCTCATAGCAAACCTTGGGACCGGGGATGAGATGGTGACAGATCAGGCCTTTGAGGACAGACTGAAGGAAGCAGAGAGGGAGGTTACAGACCTCCTCCGTGAGGCTCAGGAAGTCAAAGGTATCGTGATCAAACTGCGTGACCTGCTGATCTCATTTCTAATTTGAATAGTTTTATGAAATTCTCAGGGTTTTGGTTTGTTTGTTTGTTTCTAGACAGGGTTTCTCTGTATAATAGCCTTGGCTGTCCTGGAACTCATTCTGTAGATCAGGCTGACCATAAACTCAGAGATCCTCCTGCCTCTACCTCCTAAGTGCTGTTCTTACTCTAAACTAGGCTTTTTTTAAAAAATCTCTTAAGCCGGGCAGTGGTGGCGCATGCCTTTAATCCCAGCACTTGGGAGGCAGAGGCAGGTGGATTTCTGAGTTCGAGGCCAGCCTGGTCTACAGAGTAAGTTCCAGGACAGCCAGGGCTACACAGAGAAACCCTGTCTCGAAACACCCCTCCTCCCTCCTCCCCCCCCAAAAGAAACAACCAACTTTTAAAACCAAATTCGTTTCTACAATTATTAAGTGCCTGTAGTAAGCCTGGCCCTGAGCTCAATGCCAGTGATGAGAAGGTGGATAAAGTCTCCTCCTGTTTGCAGGATGCTCATCAGACTCAGCCCATTTGGTATAGGGCTTTCCATCATGGAACAAGTGTGCTCCCAGATGCACATAATAAATGTTCATTAAAATTAGCAAGCATGGGACAGCAGTAACCAACTTCTCTTTGAGTTTATATACATGTATCCATTTGGAGTTACATAGAGAAGTCAGCTTGTGCAAGAATATAGGTCAGAAACTAAGTATGTTGCTTTTTCTCTTCATAGAAATATCACTAATGTATAGAATTTTGATTTTTTTATGATAATTGAAATAGGAAAGGAAGTAACTGAACATATCTGGTTATGGCAAGTTGGTTTGGTTTATTATTTTTATTTAATGAGAATCCACAGGAGACCTTTTTAGATATTGAAAAGCATAAGATATCAGTGACTTATTTTAATGTTAGATGCTTATGTATTTACTTGGGGTTGCTCGTGTGTATCATTTTAAGTGGTAAACACTGCCCAGGAAGAAGGGACGCCCTGCCCATTCATGATGTTTGTTTCGTCAGCCACTTCAGCGTGTGGTTTTCCATTAGCATGCTTTATTAAAACAACAAGTCCACATGTTGTTTGCTGTATACACAGTATCATGAGATTGGTTATATTCTGACATGCCAGTTGGGCTAATCAGGATGTGATAGAAAGCTCTGGGCCAGTACCACCAGCATGCAGGAGTAGGCCCAGGCCAAAGAAAGGCACCAAGTCTGGGCACCATCATTCCACGCACCCTGGTATAGCTGAGCTACTGGCAACATCCTCTGGCCACAGAAACCACATCTTTCCTGTGCCCACACAGATGAGTCTGCTGGCTGGAAGCTCCACCACACTTCCTTGCACTACCTGCAAGCTAGAAGCACAGGGGTGTTGCTTCTCCTAGACCTGGGAGCCTCTCATAGGCTGGGGTTAAAAGTCCCTTTCTGAAGTTCCTCATTTGTGTGAGTTCCCAGCTGACCTTTCCTGCTTAGGTTCCAACTGGCCAAGAATGCCTTCATAAGGCTTTGTCTTTGAGACTATAAATACTCACTTGTAGCTGAAATGTGCTTATACTGCAGATTTGGAAGAAGATTATATGGTATGGTTTAGGGCCGACAAGCAGGTATGGTTTAGGGCCGACAAGCAGACATTGGAAGTTGAAGAACCATTGACTTATGCCTCCCCGAGAGTGTCTCTGTTGTCTTCTCTGTGCCATGCTGGAGAACTGGACCATGAGGAGTGGCATTTGGGGTCTAAAGCATACATGCTGCTTTAACAACATTGGCTGGGTTTTTTTTTTCTGTTCTAAACTTGTTTTTATTTCCATAGTTTCTTAAAAATCTCTATATTATCGAAGAACTGTGCAGATGTCCTCTAAGCAGGACCCAGTGTGCAGTTGGGCATGGGCGTCACTTAGCACGAGGGTTTCAGAACCTCATTGTCAAGTTACCGTTTTCCAGACACATTTCATTCGATCCTATCGTGGAACTTTCATATTTTTACATTCCTTGGAAAATTTAGATTTCAACACAGCATTACACTGAAATTAAAATTGCTCAGTTTTTTAAAATTAAGTTCATTTTAAGTGCTATATTGAACTTAAAATTATTATACATATATTCATAGAATAGTAACATTTTGATATGTGTGCGTATATGCATTGCACAAATTTTAAGTCAGGATAAACATATTTTGCTCCTCAAACATTTATTATTGATTTATGGTGAAAACTGTCAAAACCCTTCCTTCTGTCTTTTTAAAATAGTGTTGATTGTTAGAGTTGCCCCAGTCACTATTCAGTAGCACATCAGAACCTCGTAGACTTGCCTAACTTACTGTTCACTGTCGATGTCCCACCACCCTCACCAAGCCTCCACCATCCCTGCCTTCTGCTGCCATAATCAGACTGTATAGTTTCTTAGTTAGAGTTTTACTGCTGTGAACAGATACCATGACCAAGGCAAGTCTTATAAGGACAGCATTTGCAGGTTCAGAGATTCAGTCCATTATCATCAAGGTGGGAACATGGCAGCATCCAGGCAGGCATGGTGCAGGAGGAGCTGAGAATTCTACATCTTCATCTGAAGGCTGCTAGCAGAATAGTGACTTCCAGGCAGCTAGGATGAGGGTCCTACACCCACAGTGCCATGCCTACTACACCAAGGCCACACCTACTCCAACAAGGCCACACCTACTCCAACAAGGCCACATCTTCTAATAGTGCCACTCCCTGGGCAGAGCATATGCAAAGCATCACAATTGTTGATATTACATTTTTAACACTTCTACATCTGGGTAAGGTCACGAGGCACTTTTCACTCCGTATGACTTATTTCACCTTCTATGTAGTTGCAAATGACAGGATTTCATTCCCTTTTGTGGTGGAACAGTATCTCTTTGTGTTTATGTGCTGTTTCTCACTGAGTGGTAGACCCAATTATTGCTTTTACTGCTTGGCTATTGAGAATAGTGTCTCCATGACAGGACTGCAGGTGTTTCTGACTTTTCCCTGGAGTATGTCTTAGCATTGGGATTACTGGTACTGGATCATGTTTTAATTTCAGGAATCCCCATCATGTTCTCCATCATGACAGCACGGACGACACTCCTACCAGCAGTGTGCAGGGGTTGTTGTTCTCCACCCTCACTAGAGCTTGTTCTAGTCCATCTCTGACAGTAGCCATGCTGACTGAGGTCAGGGAGTCTCTCATTGAGCTTTTGACTTGATTTTCCTGGTGATAGATGCTGTTAAGACATCTTTCATGTATGTGTTTTCTGTTTGTGTGTCTTCTTATGAGAAATGTCTGCTTCTGTGTGTTGCCCATTAACTTTTTTCCCTTTTTGATAATGAGCTTTAAAGTTCTTAAGTGCTGCCAGATGCACAGTTGTGCTTACTCTCTCCCGGTCTTGGTTGTCTCTGCATTCTCTTGATGTCCTCTCTGCTGTGTAGCCTTTCAGTTTGATGTAATTGAATTTGTCCAGTTTCACTTTTATTTCCTGTGTTTTTGGGGTCTTGGCCAAAAAAATCCTTGCCAATTCTAATGTCCTGCAGCATTTTTGTTTTCTTTCAGTAAATTTCATTATTTCAGGCCTTCTGTTCTAGTGTTTAGTTCATTTGAGTTGGTTTTATTTATTTTTTCTGACTGGTGGAGTTAAAGGTACAGCCCCATCTTCATGTGGTAGTCTGCGCTCCCGTTCCTGTTTCCTGGCTATCCTTTTACTGGTGCATGTTTTTAACAACTCTTTTGAGAGCTGGCTGGCTGCAGATGTGTGGATTTATTTCTAGGCTCTTTTCTGTTCCCAGAACTGGTCAATTTGAATATAACTTGAAGTTTTCTATGTTAATAAAACCTCATGATGTGTGAGAATTTAATACTGACAGGCTTTATATTTACACAGCTTTATATTTACCACTTGATTTATTAGGACCCAAGCATGAGGGTTAAGACGAATGGAATATAGTAAAATTCAACTTGAGGGTCCATGTAAAAGCTGAAATCCAATTGAAAATTGCATACCAGTGCTGGAACAGAAGCAAAAAAACGTATACTTAGTTTAAAGTACTGAGAAGTTGAGTTTGCCACACTTCCGCAGCTCGCTGGTGGGCTGTTTTATTTGCTTGTCTGTTTTTCACTTTCAGGGTTTTGTTTTGTTTCATGTTAGGTTTTACTTTGTATCTGTAGCTGTCCTGGAGCTCCCAAGTAGACCAGATTGGCCTGGAACACAGAGAGAGAGCCACCTGCCTCAGTCTCCTGAGTGCTGGGATTAAAGACATGCACCGTTCCTGGCGTCTGCTTCAAGTGTCCTTTTTAATAGTTATGTATTAGGCTTTTATACTGGCAGGACTTTACTAGTATGTAGTTGTGCTAAAATATGGCGGGTGTCATAGTATAATGATCAGTTTTGCTTTTCTTCATCAAACATCTGCATGCTTGATTATCTCTGCTTTGTTGACTATTATATAAGATTGTGGACCCAGTGATGGTTAGGAAAGGGACTCAGGCTGCAGTGCAGTGGGGCTGGCAGCAATGGAAGCATGATGTGGCACAATAGAGGTTAGGGAAAATGTGCCTAAAAGATGCTGTTGGGGAAATTAAAGATACAGTGCCACAGCTGTACACAGATGGCGGACCCCTTCAGATCGTGTACAGACTGTCTCTCAAATGCTCTTCCAGATGTAGATCAAAATTTGATGGATCGCCTTCAGAGAGTAAACAGTAGTCTGCACAGCCAAATTAGCCGACTGCAGAATATCAGGAATACTATTGAAGAGACTGGGATCTTGGCTGATCGAGCAAGGTCCCGAGTGGCGAGTACAGAGCAGCTGATTGAGATCGCCTCTAGGGAGCTCGAGAAAGCAAAGATGGCTGCTGCCAATGTGGTGAGTGACTCTGACGTTCTGGTGGGTTGAGTGGGTCCTTGGGTGATTTGTAGCTGTTGGTGGATTAGAGTGTGTGAGTTTCCATCCTCCTACCTGGCACTCTGGAGCAGGAGGGCTATGCTACTCATGGTTATTGGAACAGTTGCTTTTTTCCTTGCTGTGGCAAAGTGAACAGAAATAGGGTAAGACAGGAAAGATTTGTTTGGTTCCACGGTGTGGACAAAGCACTGAGACAGCTGTTGGTAGGGGGAGAAGTATGTGGTGGCTTCTCATATAGCAAGCAGATCTAGAAGCCAAGAATGGGACAGAAGCAGAACAGACTATACCCCTAAAGGCCCATCCCAGTGACCCACTTCTTAAGGTTCCATAGCTTCTCCTAAATGAGGACCAGGAATTCAAATACAGGAGCCTGAGAAGGTCAGGTCAGGTTCAGACTTCAGCAATTGTCCCAAAACAGAAAGAACTGGATAAAAATGGAGGGATGTCTAGGTTCTTTCTCTCACTTGCCTCTTCCACAGCATTCAAAATAGAAATAATTTCCAACCAAAGGTGCCAATCAAAGGTAAAGATCTCTGAAAATAAGAAAAAGCATTTTTTTGTATATAAGAATTTAACAAAAATTTAGTGTTAATACTTGCCTTACGGAACTTAAATAACCCAGTCTTTTGAGAATAAGTGTTTTGTTTCCTCTCCAGTCAATCACTCAGCCAGAGTCTACAGGGGAGCCAAACAACATGACCCTCTTGGCAGAAGAAGCGCGAAGACTTGCAGAGCGGTAAGCTGCAGTGTGCTTTGTCGTGGTTCAGGCTTTGTGGTGAGCCTTCGTGGTTCAGGTGTAGCACCCTAGCTGACATGTGCATGTTGCCCTGTCCCCTCCCATGGATGTTTTCCATTGAGGCTTACCCTCTCTGAAATGTTACCAGATATTCATATTCTTTTTCTTTCACTTTGAAATTAGAATGTTTACCTTAAGTATTAGAATATGGCAGTTTAGAACAAAATTATATATTTCACAGATCATATTTTTTATATTTTTTAACTTGAAAGCCTTCAAGTTTATAGATTTCTAAGAAACTCAACAGAAGTTATTAATTTAAAATTTTCCATTAGATTTCCAAAAAATATTCAACTTTCAAATCTCAATAGAAAACATGTACTAACTCATTATACATTTGAATGTAAGCCAGAGACACTGACCATTTCATTCCTGATTTGTTTGGTTTTTATACTTTTAAATTAATTAAGATTACTTCTTTGGAAGGCCTTAAATTGCAAGAAGAATCAAATTTTTAAAAATATTTTTTATAATGGCAAGGATGTAGGCATCGTTGAGAGCAAGCTTCTGTGTATGAAGCCCCAGTAGAGAACACTCAGTAGACTTAGTAATATAGAATACAGAAGGAAGCCTTATGCAGATGTGAGAACTGTAGACCTTGCCCAGAGCAGCAGCATTGATGTCTTACAGCTTCTAGGTTACGTTAATCTTAGGGGGGGGGTGTTTCTATTCTGGTAGGGGTGAACGTGTGAGCTATGTAATCAGCTTTGCAGAATATTCATGGTTTCACAGCTGGATTTTCCTACTAAAGGAAGATAACTGAAAACATGGAGCATTCCAAGAAAGCTAGGTCTTGAAGATTTACTGGTGTGATGGGCTTAATGCAAGGACTTACGATGAAAGTTTCTTATGCCAAGGAGAATGGCCACATACTGGTGCCACAATTCAACATGAAACGTTGGAAGCAGAAAATCCATTAGCATTGCTAAGGTGCATTGCTTGGCTAGAGTCCCTGTTGATATGTTCATTCCTATTTGGTGTTGCTTTTTCTGCCAGTAATTAGGGAGCATAAGAAAAGTCTGAACAGAGAGGCTGTGTAGAGACTGTGCCATAACTGTGTAGAGACTGTGCCATAACTG